TCTTGGGCTGTGGCCAAACTTGGCAGCTGCCCTGAAACCCTCTCAAAGTTATTCTGTTCTACGCAGCAGCAGTTAGCCTCTCATCTTCAGCGACATTATTTGCAGATTTGGTAAGACAATTCAGAATTCTTAAAGGGAGGAATTAAAAGAAGTGTTTTCCCACGTTAAAAAATGGGAAGCACAATTATGATGGAGAGAGTTAGGTCTTTGTAAGATTATGCAATGAATGATTTAAAATTGGATCTGAAGGCAAGTTTTATTGGTTAGATAACAAACACAATATCACCACAACTGATAGCAGGTGGGGCAGTCCTATCCCATGCTGCTTCCAAGATGTGAGGATTTTTCCTAATGGTTTCTTTACATTAGTTCTTCAAGCAGCTCATGTCCCTCCCTGCATGGCTTCTGAGCAGCCACATTGGATCCCTGCCCAAGTGTTCAATTAGCACAGCATGTGGCACCCTACTGCATACCCATCAGGTATGCAGTTTCAAGTGTCTTCAGTCAGGCCCATGTAGCACAGGAACAGGCCACTGTGACCCCAGCAAATGCCATGCTAATCTGACTGCCTGGGTACCCAACACCCCCACAGCACTGCAGCTACAACTGGCAATGCTTCTCCACAATACCTCCCCCCCCCGCCCGCATCTCTGCCTATGCTGTCAGCATCATCAGATGTGCTAAGACACTTGAGAATTATTAAACAGGAAATTAGATTTAACAAAAATGGAGGGGTAAATCTTTCATATGTTACGTATCATAAATATCACAATGTAAGGAGTTAGGACTCTCTTTAGACCTACTATGGATAGCTTGCTATGGAAAATATAAATTAGGGGATCAACAACTTAACTGGGATTGACATAACATTGATAATAATTATTTTCGCATTTGATAATTCATATTTTATCCTAAAAAGTGGTTTGATCCCAAATATAATAATTTGACAGATAACATATGATCCTCAGAAGGACTTATTAGGCCTGGAGGGATAGCTCAGCTAAGGCTAAGCTCACAACCAAAAATATAAGAAGGACTTACTATTGATAAAGCACAAGCCTATAAAGCTGCCCTATCTTCTCTTATGACTCATCCCACCTACTTACAGGATACCAGAGGGGGTAGAAAGAAGAATATTTTAAGTTCAGATTTTGTTGAAGGCATGGAGAGAAGGAAATATTTATTGTTTGTCTATGGAAAGAGAGAAGTACTAAGCTCAATTAATTCATATTTTCAAAATGTCATTTATGTATGGGAAATAGGAAATTATGTTTAATTTTCTTTTAGCTATAAACATACATGGTGTTCCTATGCTTCTTAGAAATTTAGAACATTCTAAAATCTCAGTATCACCTAGTATCATTTTAGGAGTTACAGTTTTATCCATTAATTTATTGATAGTTTAGTGACCTTAAAAAAATGTAGAGTTGAGCTACAGTCTTAGAGAAACTGGGTTCTTGCCTCTTAAATTTCCATCTCTGTGTTTCATTTTGTAATCCATTCATATCTGAATGAAGACAGAAAAAAATTACTAAGAAATGATAAACTAGAAGAAAAAAGTGTGCTCAAAAGCAGGAAGGCTGATTTCAAATCAAGGTTGACTGAAATGATTACCTAAATTGTTCCAGTACATTAAAAACTCAGGAGTCAGAAATTGAGATTCAGACCTGATAAACCCAAGGAAAATAGAGAGCATATTGTCTGCCCTTCTCTCTATGCTCTTTCCAATCAATTAAAGAAAGGAGTGCTGTGTTATATTATTTATGATTTAATAAATATTTCCTGAAGTATGAGAATGCAAATCCAGCCACACTAGTTAGCTATAGAAGCTAGGCAGTGGTGATATACAGCTTTAATTCCAGCAGCCATACTAGCTATCCATAAGGACAGGTTGGTAGTGGCACACACGTTTAATCCCAGAACTCAAGAGACAAGCAGATGGATCTGTTAGTTCAAGGCCACACTGAGATACATGAAATTGATCAGTCCGAAAGGGAAACAGCTTACACAAGGGTGATCTCAGCATTTAGGATTGCATGCCTTTAATTCCATGTATTGAGAGGTAGCAATCTGGGATTGCAGTCTGAGGCTTGGCGGAAAGAGGATTGTAGCCTGAGGCTTAGGGGAGAGATTTATTCTCTAGACACACATAGGAGGGGACAGCCCTTTCAGCCTGGGGTAAAGATATGAGCTAGTGGCCAGCTGCTATGCTTCTCTTATCTTCAGTTTGGAGCTTGAACCCCAATATCTGTCCCTGGGTTTTTATTCTTAATGTTATATATTGGCACCCAAAGTTAAGTTACAAATTCATGAAAAAGCTGCTTAAAGGCCACCGACCCAGGTCTATCCCTCTCTCTCTCAGGCTTACAGTCTCGCCTCATGGTCATAAAGCTATTTCTCTGATTCAGACCTGCTGCCCCCACAGTTCACTGACACTCTGCAGATTTGATAAGACCATTAGGAATTCTTAAAGAAATGAATTAGTTTAATAAAAATAAAGTTTTTTCCCACATTAAAAATGGGAAACACTACTACAATGGAGAGAGATATGTCTCTGTATGATTACATAATGAATGGGTTAAAAGTGGAACAAGAAAATGAAGGGATACTCAACTAAGCCAGAATTAACATACTATTAATTATCATTTTGATAAAGTTTGTTGTTGGTTTGATCATTCTTGGTTTATCGCTAAAAATGTTGGTTGATATGAGTGCTAAGATGGAGGCCTTAGAAAAACTTTTAAAAGAAGATCATAAAGGTATTCAAAGCCAGACCAAGGAATTTAATAGGGAACCAAGTTCGGCATTGATTTATAAAGTTAAAGAGGAACAGTACAAAGTCTTGCAAAAACCATCCTTAATATATTTATTAACCTTACAGGAAGTGCCAAATGATAGAGGTACTTTAAAAGCTAATTGGATACCTGTGACAATGTCAGAATTAGGGAAATTCAAGGAAGTGGTAGTCTCCTGTGACATGCATTCACCATTTGTGAAGCAGATGATAAATACATGGTCAGTTTGTAATAGTTATCCATATAGAGTAGATAGATTTGATAAAAGCTGTTTTAGAGCCTGGACCACAATTATGATGGACTTCTTGGTTCAAAGAACAAGCTAAGACTATTGAACAACAAACCAAAGCAAGAAGTATGGATATCTCTCAAGATAAAATTCTTAGAGAAGGAGATAATGCAAGTTTAGAAAGGCAATACCTATATGATGATCACTGCCTGGATTTATGTTGTACATCAGCTTTGAATGCTTGGAACAGAATTGGAGAAGTAGGAAAGAAAATTGAGTCATTTATAAAAGATATACAGGGCCTAAGGAAACTTTCACTAATTTCTTACAAAGACTGTCATCAACAGTAAATAGAATGATATCAGACACAGAAGCTAGACAAATAGTAATTGAACCTATAGCTTTTGAAAATGCTAATGTCCAATGTGAAAGAATAATTAGGCCTTCAAAAGTCAGCACCTTTGGAGGATTGGATCTGAGATACAATTAACACTGACACTCATGGCCGTGATGATGGTGCATGGATAGGAGACATGATTTCAAGAGGTTTGAAGAAAAACTGCAACGTCAAATGTTTTAGTTGTGGCAAACAGAGTCACTTGAAAGGGGGTTATAAACAGGGCATTTGTAGAAACCATGCTTTTTATAAACATAATAAAAAATGCTTCTCCCTTCTGGATTATGCAGAAGGTGCAGCAAAGGCAGGCAATGGACTAAAGAATGTAGATCAACAAAGAAACATTCAAGGTAATCCTTCAGAAAATGCCATGAGGAGCCTCTTGGAAACCCCAATGCAAAAGACTTCAGTCATTTTCTGGAAACTCCTTCCCAGAGCAATTAATGAACCTAATGCTTTTGTAAGAAAACATCCTGCTTTGGATGATAGAAGAGCTTTAGCAGATAAAACAAAAATTTCAGGAGAAACCATAAATCAAAATTAATAAAGATTACATTAGCAACCTCCCCAAATGTACAGTTGAGGATTTTGTCTTTTCTGGAAAATAACAATGTGGTGATATATTATTTATGATTTAATAAAGCTTGCCTGATGGTTCAGGATGCAAAGCCAGCCACACTATAGAAGCTAGGCGGTGGTGACATATACCTTTAAAACCAGGACTCAGAATTAAGAGGTAGACAGATCTCTGTTAAGGCCACAATGACTCTATGAAATTTATTGAGTCTTAAAAGACACAGTTCACACAAAGGAGACTGCAGAACCTGGGGCCACGTGCTTTTAGAAATCCATTATGTTGTAGAGATCAGGCAACTGTGGTAACAGTGGAACACTTGTGCCTGGAAACCTGAGTTATGGACAAGTGAGAAGGGAAGCTTGATGAGAGAATCCATGAGAGAGTGAGTATTGATGCTCTTAGACTGTTGTCAACCCTGAAATTCCAGGCTCAAGGACACCCAGAAAGAAGGACAACAATGAGAATTTGTATGCTGGTCATTTTATTAATGTAGTGAAGCTATAGTTCTGATCCTGCTGTGGCAATAGAAGAATGTTGTGAGGGAGCCATCTTCCTACACACTTCCTGAAATAAACAAATCATGAAGGCAGGTTACACATGTCAAAAATAAACAACAGGAACATGCCAAAAGAAAAATACAGTGAGACCTATGTATCCATATGAACTTATGAGTCTAAGCAAGGAGGCAGAGGATCTCAGGAAGAAAAGTGTTCTTTAAAAAAAATACAAGACACAAAAGAAATGTAAAACACAAAATTTGCAGGTGATATTCCCAGACAAATACACTTTTTCTCATGAATAAGTCATTTAATAGTAAATAAAAATAACTGAAATTGGATCCAGGACTATGTAGTTTCTAAGTATTTTGATTGGTTATTTCCTAGGCTCTGAGAAATATAGTAGTTTGGTATTTATTAAGGAGGATAAATGTAAGTCATACATGTCATTAAATTCTAGATTACTGAGGACCAAAGGCCTGGGGGCATGGCACTGTCTGAACCCTTAGAAAGATTGTGGTGGCCCTTGCTGGTTCCCAGGCTGAGGGCCTTGGCTCTGCTGTAGGCCTCCCTGTGGGGAGGGGCCTTGCTGGTTTCCAGGCTGAGGACCTTGGCTCTGTTGAGGGCCACCCTGTGGAAGTGGGCCTTGCTGGTTTCCAGGCTGAGGACCTTGGCTCTGCTGTGGGCCTCCCTGTGTGGGTGGGACTTGCTGGTTTCCAGGCTGAGGACCTTGGCTCTGCTGTGGGCCTCCCTGTGGTAGTGGGCTTTGCTGGTTTCCAGGCTGAGGACTTTGGCTCTGTTGTGGGCCTCCCTGTGAGGGTGGGGCTTGCTGGTTTCCAGGCTGAGGACCTTGGCTCTGCTGTGGGCCTCCCTGTGAGGGTGGGGCTTGCTGGTTTCCAGGCTGAGGACCTTGGCTCTGCTGTGGGCCTCCCTGTGAGGGTGGGGCTTGCTGGTTTCCAGGCTGAGGACCTTGGCTCTGCTGTGGGCCTCCCTGTGTCAGTGGGCCTTGCTGGTTTCCAGGCTGAGCAGGGCCACCTTGCTGTTGGTTTCCTCCTTTTAGTGGTCCTGATCTTTGGGGCAATCCTTGAGGAGGAGGTATCTGACTGAGGATCTGGTTTAGGCTCTGAAAACCTGAGTGAGTAAAGCAAATCATAGATGAGCTTAGTAATAGCTGATTTTCTTCTCGTTTATCTCAATGGCCTTTTCACACAGCATCTTTTCCAAGAACCTCCCATTCAACAGCAACCTTGCTTATGTTTTCCTGAAGAACTCATGGATTTAATGACATTTAATTCATGATGTAAATTCCAGAATAAGCCCATGGGCTCGTTAACCCCATAGATTACTCAGAATCAGTTTTCTCAGACAAAAGTAAAACAAAGAAATCAGCTCACACATGCTAGTTCTCTTTCATGTTATAATTTGAGATACAACTGTTTGTTTTGGCTTTTGTTTTGTGACCCCCAAATCAAGGAGTGCACTTCTGTTTTAAAACTAAATCAGCTTGTTCAGAAGTCTGGACTCAGATTGAAGAATAATAGCAGTGGGAAGAAAAGGGCAAAACTAGCAGTCCACACAGTATTCACTGAATGAATTCAAGAGAGATCATCAGGTATGAACACAATACATAATTTGAATACACAGTCAGAGAGAAACAGTCACATTTGTGCATTTGTTTTGCCACAATCAAATACTGCAATTGAGAAAACATGGGTGGGGAAGCCATTGAGGAAATCTTGGTACCACAGAAGAGTCATAATCAGGACCCTGCATCTAAGCTCTATCTCTAGCAACCACTCCTGTGTGACACTGTCAGGGTCCGAGAGCAGTCCCATAGAAGAACCCCAGAGAGGTATGCTGTAACAAGAGTGTTCATTCCAGCATTCAGGGGAGAGTCATCAGACTCCATGGCAAAATAGCCACCCCTAGACTACCTCACAGTCTTCCTTTAAGAAAGGTTATGGGAATTTCAGGGAAGGGAGGTTAGTATGGGGGTTGAGGTAGGTTTAAACAAAAAGTCTCCAAGTTGTTATAGGCTTGTTTTGTGGTTTTAGTGGCTAGGTGGGAACTTTCCAGCAGCAGGGTAGGGAAAACTCTGCAGCTAACAGAAGGTTGTGAGGCAACTGCTGATTGGTTGTCCCTGAATCTTTCCAAGAAAAGGTCCTTCAGTTCCAGTTAACTGAAACTGAGGCCTAGTTTCTGACCAGGCTGTTAGGAGCCTGTTGTCTTGTTTGTTTGGCTCTCTGATTACAAGGTAAATTCCTCCTACTTTGAATGTGCCAGACCCCTGGCTCATTCACATTATTGCCCTTCCTGATAATGGTCCTTAGTATCAAGGGTGGGGAATGTTTGTAAATTTGGGAAACTTGCATTTATTAATTAGTAAAAGTAGAAATGACAGGCATTGTAGAATTAAAAAAATATTACCCTCCTTACTACATAAGGAAAAGGAGATGGATGATGTGTTGATATTATTGAGGAAGGGTATTTATAGAAAGCCATTGAGATGTAAAGCAAAGGATATGATCAAAAATGAGGTCGCTAAAGCAACAAGCATCCCAGAGGGAGGAAGTGACTTTTAGCCACACTCTGTACAACCCCTAAGGAAACTTTTAGCCATTGACTGTGAAATGATCAGATAGCAGAGATTTGAAGAATTCATGGTAAGTGTTACACTGAGTGTCAACCACTAACTCATAACATATAATTCCTTTTGGTATTCCCTCTTTTACCTAGAATCTGATTATTTATACTGATAAGACACACACACACACACATGTTATTTACATATATGTATATCTATGATGTGTGTGAGATATGTCAATAATTATATGGATATCTGTGATATGTGTGTGAGATATAAGTCATATAAATGTTCAGTAACTTAAAATATTAGTCCTTGTATCTTCCTTATTTAACAAATTCTTATTTTATATTCCCATGTCTTCTCAAACAAAAGAATAAAGAGAATCATTTTAGCAAAACCTTACACTCACAACTGATGACACATTGGAATATTCCATAAGAATAGGGAAAAAAGAAAACTAAGAGGATGTTTCTATTTCTCTGTCCAATAGTTTCAATTTTATTATTTCATAATAAAATTATGAAATTTCATTATATGCCTGTGCTTCTCTCTTTAATCCTCCCTTAATACACGGTACAGCAAGGCTACTGGCATCATCAGTCTATTTTAACTACCAGTGTCTTCAAATCTGAGGCTCTCCTATTCCTATACAACCTGTGGCTCCATTTACCTCTCATCTCCTGTCCTCCCTCCTGTCTCTCTCCTCCCCTGCAGTGTTGTCTCCTGTTCTGAAAGTAGAGTCACAGAACCCACACCCATATTCTCCTACCTTCTCCTTGTCTCTGAGCAGAGCTCAGGGCCAGCAAGGCCACTGTGAGCAGGATCACCAGCATCTTGAAGGAGGCTCTGGAGTTGCTCCCAGCTCTGTTCCAGAAGCAAGGCAACTGCCTTTTTAAGGAGGAGCAGAAGAATGGTGCCATTGAATTTCACTCTATTATATTCTGTTCTTAACAAAGCAGGAAATCTTACATCCCTGATTCTACACTGGGACTTTTGCCCAGCAGGATGAGGTAGGGAAGAGATGCCAGTGTCCCCTTTGAAATGGTAGAACAGATGATTAGAGTAAAATTGACAGAATTCACATGCAAGGGAATGATCAGATATTGAAGTTGAAAGGCTTTCATTATATCAATCTCATTTTATTTGAGGAGATTGTCTACATATCACTGTGAATTGGGGGGTAGGAGTAGTGTGTGCACACATGCATTTATATTGTCAGCAATGATCTATAAACAAATTGAAGTTGGTAACTGTTTCTCATCAGTAGAATGGCTGAAACTCTAGCATTATATGTTTCATTCATACAAGGATATACATTATATTTAGTTAACACTGATGGTGTTGAGACCTTTATTACACCAATTTGAATTAATTAGGACACCACACTTGGAACTCCTAGACCTCAGCAAGACTTCCCAACATTGTCTTGATCTGATCCAATAACAGGAACATTGGTTGGTAAAACCACAAGACCTAAAACATCACTAAAATCCCACCAGAAGTTGCCGCAGAACCATGAATCTCTAATTCCTTGATTAGTCATGTTACCATTTTATAATTCTAAGATCTGTACACAGCTCCATTGTCCAAAGTATTCTCTCCATATTACTAAAGGCCACAGTTATGGAGTTGAGCAAGGCAGCCTGCTTATTTCCCTCATAGGGTCAACTCCACACACTCACAATCTTTTTCTAAGTCAGTGATAGACTGTGTCCTAAGAATGACTTATATCACAGATTATGTATAATTTTCTGATAGTGTCACACCTTAAGATTCTCTTTGTGAAGGCACTTTCTTCATATTTTGTGTTTTAACTTGGTCCTCTATTTTTGTTTTTCATCTTAAACATGAACATTTTTCAGTCATTAGAAAAGAACTCTTCTAATTCTGTTTTCTGATTACACATATACAAAATACATGCTGCATAAGCATATATTTTATTTTCATTATTCATGTCTCATTTTTATTTCAAACTTTGCTAACAAATCTTGCATACATAATTATTCCTTCTTTCTTTTTTCTTGCCTTTACTTTTACAACAGAAGTTTCTTTCTCATTCTTGTTTTTTTTTTTTTTGCAATGCTTAGATTTTGGCCACCTCTTACCAACTCAGACTCCCTATAGAATTTATTTGTGTCTTCTATAGGTATAGTTCAGGGCTTGTGGTATTTGAGGGCTGCTTAATTAGAGAGAGTCAGAGAGGGACATGTAATTTGATAAACCTAAATTTGGACCCATCATGCATTGTTGGCCACTGGACTCTATGCTATGTATGTGAATGACAGTCTGTTCTTTTCCACATGATTGTAGTGAACAGTATAGAAAAGGTCCATCATCAATGGGCTATGGATGCTACATTCTATGTGACTCTTTCAAGATGACCAATGTCACAGTTGCATGTCTGAGATAATTACATCTGTACTCTATTTTTATGAAGTTCACCAACCTTTTGTGGTTATGCTAAAAACAAAGCTGTTTTCCTTGTTTTCATGGGATTTCTGGGAAAAGGGAGTTTCTTACTCATGACATGTCTCTCTTTATAAACACACCATGTCCTATAGCTTCCCTAGAAAATACAGAGCAAGATATTCTGAAGATAAGTTGTCCTGTCCAGGAAGTCAAAGATATGGAACACAGTCAAGATACATGTGATGTGCTAGTACCCAGTAATGACATTCTTGGTAGAAGTCAGCCTTATTGAATTTTTGCATCCTGGAACACAGTAGTTGATTCTTTCAAATATCACTCTGTTCAGAACATTTCGCAGACCTTTTCAGTGTCAGCAATGAGTGAAAGAGGTTAGTATATCATGAAAAGAAAAATATCATCAGATACTACAGAAGCAGAAATATAGAAGAACTGAGGGTGAGCTTAAAGCCATGAGAACTATAGCAGACTTGATTATACATAATAAAATCTTGAAGCACATGTATGTGGCTTTGCCTCTCTGTAGATACATACAGACATGTTCTAAATTCATAGCATATTTATCTAAAGAGTCTACTAATTTAGACTTTGTGATTTCTTTCTTTATCCTAATCCTGATATATCAGTTCAGTATTGACACTGAGAAAAAGCTGAACACCCCTGTGGCATAAACAGAGCATAGTTGCGCAGAAGCTTTTTCTCTGCAAGTCCAAGAATAATGTTACATGTAAGACCAATTCCTCAAAGACCTTTTTCCTTGCCTTCCTTCTCTTTCCTCATAAGAGGTTTGCCCACTGCTCATGTGGGGCTGTGTCTTCTAATGCCCTTTCCTTATAAAACACAGCCAATTGGAATGGGCTGGCTAATACATGATCATTGCCTTTCACATTTTAACAAGTTACAATTGTTCATTGAAAGTTTGATTCATGTATATAACACAATCTGATCATACTTACTTATGTCTCTTTTCTAGTTTCCTTTCACCCCTGTGAAATCTCCTCCTTCCTACAAGTCTCTTCTAGGTTCATGTCTTTTTTGTTATCTTTTGTTATTCACTGAGTTTCACCATGGATTCTTTTGACTTTGGGTGCAGAACTATCCATTGGATCCTGGTGGACTCTCTAGGCAATAAGCAGCTGAAGAGGGTCAACCCCATTTGCCTAGTATCTATCAATATCCACTGAAATAATAGCATCTCTGGTTACCTGCAGAAGATTTGTTCAAGATTAATCCAACTAAAATGGATGGTGGGAGGTTGACAATGTCCCACTATTAATTGAGTGTCTATTTTCAGTTCATGGCTGCTAAGTGAGGGCAAGTCAGTTTTCTTTGGGAGTGTGACTACTGGTAAGCTGCCTATTTTCTAGGGAATGGCCTCATACCTATTAGAATATAGGCAACACCTATTGGATCTAATGGAATATCAAAAGTAATATGTGGACATGATGTTTGGAAAGTGCCATGTTGAGGGTCTGGGGAGAAGTATAGGCATGGGCATGACCAAAACATATAAATACATTCATGAATGTCTCAAAGAATTAATTTCATTAAAAACATTTGCACCCCATTTTCTATGACTACAATTTCAATTTGTGTAAGTCCTAGTATTTGCCCTATTCCAGGCCCATGTCTCCACCATAGACCTTTTCCAGTGTTCTGCTGTCAAAAGATATTCCAAATTAACTACAAAAGTTACTTAGAAGCTACGAATCACTTAAGTGATCAAACATGACATTTGTCTCTTTGAACTGCAGTATTTCATAAAATGACATTTCTCACTCTGAGCTGCATTATTTGGTAAAATGTATCAGTTTCATTTTTTTCTAATGAAAATTTCCTAATTTAATTTTTTAGTGATGAATAAATTAGCATTGTGTATATGCACCACATTTTCATTATTTATTCAACAGTTGATAGAAATCTAATTGGATTCCATTTCCTAGCTATTGTAAAACAGCAGCAATGAACATGACTGTGTGTCCCTATCATAGGTTATAAAGTTCTCTGGGTCTGTGTCTAGTAGTATTTCAGCTAAGTTGTATAGCATATCTACTTTTAACTTCATCAGAATTTGTACACTGATTTCTATTTAGTTTAATCATTCTGATAATATGTTCTGCCTTATTGAACTTTAAGTACTAAACAGGAACACTGAGAGTAAAGGACAAATTATGTTCCATAATACATTTCAGTCATATTTCCATTAATGATCTTTGTTTTACTAATTTTCAAAAAATAGATATTATTTTACAATACATATTGTTTCCTGATTACTGCCATAATAAAAACATTTGATATATGATAATATGATATGTATGATAATATGTGTATGTGTATGATAATATGATCATGGCAGCACACTTACTCATAGCTGCTGTTGTCACTTTTGGAGGGCTTTGTCTTTAATAAAACTTTAAAATACACTTAATGTCTTCCATAACCCCTATTAATGCTTTCAGTTGCCACTAAGGAAACCTCAAGAGAAAGCAGAGCACTATATTGCTTAAAATCCATTAACACTTTCCCTTTTTTCCATAATAATAGGTGCCTTTTATACCTTGGTTTATTAATAGCTATGTGCCTTTCTCTTCCTGGAAGAGTCTAGCTCTCTGATTTTCTCAGAAAACAGTCTTTGTTAACTTGCCTGGCTCTGCTTTGCCTAGATCTCTACAGTTACTTTTACTTGGAATGATTTATAGCCATAATGTGGACAACCTTGAATTGAGGATCAGGGATTTATAGCAGGTCCTTTGGTCCTGGGAGGAGTGTGGTGGTTTGAAAGAAAATGGCTCCCAAAGGGAGTGGCATGATCAAAATGTTTGGCCTTGTTGGAGTAGGTGTGGTCCTGTAGGAGGATGTTTGTTACCGTGGAGCTGTGCTTTGAGGTCTGAGGTAGTATGTGCTCAAGATAGTGAACAGTGTCACTGACCACTTCTTTTTTACTGCAAAATATAGGACTCTCAACTACTTTTCCAGCACCATATCTGCATACACCCAATGTCATGGACTACTTCCTTTTTCCTTCAATATGTTGTACTCTCAACTACATTTCCAGTACCATGTCTGCCTGCATGCTCCCGTGCTCCTTACAATGATGATAATGGAGTAAACCTTTGAAACTATTGAAGGGACCAGCTCCCCATTTCAGCAGCCTAACACATGCTTGCCTGACCTTGTCTTGGTCACTAGGAGGTCAGATGCCTGCCTCGTGGCAAGGAACCAATCAGAAGTTAGCTGGTGGTGCTATGCTTTATGGCTCTGGGTGTGCTTTACAGACAAGTGCACAGCAATGACATGTAGAGCATAGCAATCATTCTGGGAGGGCCTATGGGCCATAACAACCAGTTGACCAATCAACACAGGGCAAACCCTCCAAGCATGGAGACCCACCAACCCTGAGCCTGTGCGTACCCCTAGACACTCCCCTTATGCTGCCCTATAAGATCTCTATGCAGATGCTTCGCAGCGTCTTTCCTAGGCATCCACCATGGTG